AGGGAGGGAATAAGATGAGGGGAGGGTGGAATAAGAAGAGGGGAGGGAGGGGAATAAGAAGAGGGGAGAGGGGAGAGGGGAATAAGATGGGGGGAATAAAAAGAGGGGGGAATAAGAAGAGGGGGGGAGGGGAATAAGAAGAGGGGAGGGAGGGGAATAAGAAGAGGGGAGGGGGGGGATAAGAAGAAGGGGCAGCTCTATAGGACAGGGGCCAAGACAGGGAGCTCTTTCACACTACGCGCGCACACACACACAATGCATCCCTATACATACACAGAAACACAACATGCTTCCCTTACACACAGATAAACACACAATGCATCCATTACACACACACACACAATGCAACCCTTACAAACAAAGACAATGCATCCTTTGCACACATACACAGAAACTGTATATGACAATGCAAACCCGTACACATGCATGCAAACACACACACTTCTTTTCTTACATACACACAGAAACACAATGCATCTCATGCACACACATACAGACACACACCTTGCATCCCTTATGCATACAAACACAAATTCACACAATGCATCCCTTACACACAACCAGAAACACATAATACATCCCTTATACACAAATACACACTGCTTCCACTACACACAAACACACTGCATCACCTGCACAAACTGGTAACCCTAAACACTACATACCATAAGCACACATATTAGATCCTCTACAATAACACATAACACATCCCTACACACTCCACTCCCTGTGAGCGAACTCATGGGTGGGTGGAACTTATGAGTGGGCCTTATGGGCATACTCACCGTCAGGCCCTGGGGCCCAGACCTTGAGCTGTGTAAGGGGCCCGAAAAAAATTGAGCTGCTTCCAATTCTCCCAGAACATTGAATTTTGTGACCACAGTTGCAAACAGCCTCAAGAGATCCTGTTCTACACCAGACCAGTGGAGCCAAACTGCAGCCCATCATCATCCTCATCTGCTTGTAAGTAGGCAATCTAGTATATTATTAGTGACACTAATCTATAATGTACCTCACATTAAAGGGACACTATGGCTTAATGAAGTGGTTCTGGTGTCTATAGCTGGTCCCTGCAGGCTTTTTAATGTAAACACACACCGTGTGCAGCACTGGCGTTAGTTCATATGGGTGGGGCATTGTGATGTCACATGGGGGGGCAGCAAATTTTTATTTTGTCTAGGGCGGCAAAAATCCTTGCACCGGCTCTGATCCTGGGCAGGTGCACCAGTCTACTTGACTGGTTTTGCCCCCCAGGCCTAAGGCTGCCAGCCCTCCCCTGGCCGCTGGGGAGGTCTTTTTGCGGCCGCTGGCGGACTTGTCCTGGCGGCCGCTGAGGCAGCTGCGCGAGCTGCGCTGGCTCTGCTCCCCAGCAGGCAGCTGAATGAGACCGGCGCCGGAATATGACGTCATATTCCGGCGCCAGTCTCATTCAGCAGTGCGCGAGGGTGGGATGGCACTAACACAGGAAGCACCTCTAGTGACCGTCTGAGTGACTGTCACTAGCAGTGTCACTTTGAAGCAATGTAAACACTGCCTTTTGTCTGAAAAGTCAGTGTTTACGTTGAAAAGCCTGTAGGGACATGCTATAGACACCAGTACCACCACATTAAGCTGTGTGTGTGCATATGCTAGTGAGTGAGCTTGCTTGCATGCGTGTGCCTGCTAGTGAGTGAGCTTGTGTTTTTTATGTCAGTGAGCTGATGTATATCAGTAAGATTGTTTGTCTATGAGGCTGTGTATCAATGAGCTTGTGTGTGTCACTGAAATGTCAGTGAAATTGCCTGTGTCTGCATGTGCGTATGCTTACTGTATAATTAAACGTTTTACCCTGAAAGGTCCTATATTTTATATTAGAAAAAGCAATATATATATATATATTTATTAATTACTCAATCATCTGTCCTGGCAAGACATAGCCTTACATATTACACGCGACAATATATGGCGCAGTGACTTATGGGACGGGCACACATTTTTTTTTTCTGGGCTGCTTTGTATCCCCAGTCCGGCCCTGCCTCCAGGGTCCATAGAGGCTCCTTCGGAGCGCCCCGCACATACCAGGAGTTCCAGCCGTTGCCCTTCTTCCCGTCCAGGGGACGTCCATGGCCTTCTCGGGGAAGCCGCAGACAATCTACTTACAGACGACCTTACGGTAAGTGCAATATCTCTCATTCCTCCACATCTACACATAGGGGGCAGGCTTGCGCTGTTTGCGCATGCATGGGACGAGCTCACAAAAGACACTTGGGTGTTACAGACTGTCAGAGGTTTCTATCTCGACCTTATATCTACCCCATTTCAAATCCATGTCCCAAGAGAACTGACATTGGCCCCAGACCAAACCAAACTCCTAACAAAGGAGATTACAGACCTCCATACCAAACGGGCAATCCAAGAGATCCCATACGATACCCCAGGTTTTACCAGCAACCTATTTTTGGTAACCAAAAAAGGCGGAGGTATGCGGCCAGTCATAAACTTAAAGGAACTCAATGCGTTCCTCGCATACCAACACTTCAAAATGGAAGGCATTCATTGCCTCAGGGATTTATTACAACAGGGAGATTGGATGGTCAAATTGGACCTCAAGGACGCGTACCTCACCGTCCCTATTGCAGAGGCACACTGGGACCTCTTGCATTTCACATGGCAAGGGCGACGTTGGAGATTTACATGTCTGCCCTTCGGTCTGTCGTCAGCGCCCTGGTGCTTCACGAAACTCATGAAGCCTGTGGTAGCCTTTCTCAGAGCACGAGGAGTTCGTCTGATCATATATCTGGACGATATTTTAATCATGGCATCCTCACAAGACCAAGTACTGCTCCACCTACAGTGGACCATCACGTTACTCGAGACTCTGGGTTTTTTGATAAATTGGGAGAAATCCATAACCAATCCAGTCCAAAAGATAGAGTTCCTGGGATTCCAGATCGACGCAATCTCACAATTCTTACTCCTCCCGGACACGAAATTGAAGGCCATCAAAAAAGAGATCAGGCGCACATTACGAGCTCAATCTCTCTCTATTCGGCAACTAGCCCGAGTATTAGGACTACTGGCTTCCTCGATACAAGCCATCTTCCCAGGGCCTCTACACTATCGTGCCCTACAACGGTTAAAAGGTTCTCACCTCAGGTCCGGCCGTTCATACGAATCCGCACTAGTCCTGGATGTAGAATCACGGGAGGAGCTGAGGTGGTGGCTAGACCATATGGAGGCGTGGAACGGCCGAGCAATATTCGGAACCAGCCCGGACCTGATTATAGAATCGGATGCAAGCCTCCATGGCTGGGGCGCGCGTTGTGGCAACATATCCACCGGTGGCAGATGGTCCATGGAGGAATCCACAATGCACATAAATTGCCTGGAACTTCTGGCAGGATCGTTCGCCATCCGCAGTCTCTCCCCTACGGTAGGGAGATGTTGTATACTGGACAACATCTCGGCAGTCCGTTATATCAATCATCTAGGAGGCACCAAATCCAAACGACTAGCAAACCTAGCGAAGGAATTTTGGCAGTTTTGCCTTCAGAACGAGATTGCGGTGACAGCGGAACACATTCCGGGCTTAGACAACATACAAGCGGACTGGAATTCCATATATCTGCGAGATCCGGGAGACTGGCGTCTTCTCCGCTCTACCTTTTGCCAAATAGACGAATTGTGGGGACCACTGGACGTAGACCTTTTTGCATCCAGACTGAACAGTCACCTGCCTCGATACTTCAGCTGGCGACCAGATCCAACAGCCTCGGGGACGGATGCTTTCCTACAGACATGGCCGAAGTCTCGGCATTACGCATTTCCCCCTTTCAATCTCATTTCCAGGACACTATCATACCTATGCACACAGGACTGTTCACTAGTGATAGTGGTTCCACTATGGCACGCTCAGCCGTGGTTTCCTCGACTACTAGAAATGGCAATCGACTCTCCACGAGTAATACCATCAAAACCAGACTTGCTCTTGGACCCAGAGGGGAATCCGCACAACCTAATCAATCAGGGCCTGCTGCAACTCACGGTCTGGTTGATTTCCGGAGTCCCTGGACATTCACAGACATTCCACAGACGGTTACAAGACTCATGGACAACCCCTGGGCTCCAGGGACCAGAGCGGCCTATAACTCTGCATGGCGAGTGTGGGCTAGCTGGTGCATGGAACGGTCAGTGGATCCGGTTTCAGCACCTCTGAAAGAAGTACTGGAGTTTTTGACGTCCCTTTTCGAAGAAGGAAGAGGGTATCGTACCATTAACGTGTACAGGTCGGCGATCTCGGCAGGACACCGAGACCTGGAGGGCTCCCCGATCGGTCAGCATCCCTTCGTTTGTAGACTCCTGAAGGGGATACGCTTTGAGAAACCTCCACAGACCCGCTATTCTTCATTCTGGGATGTCAACATTGTCTTGCACTTCCTGGAAGAATGGATGCCAAATGAGGAACTCTCCCTTAAACACCTGTCTTGGAAACTGCTGACTCTGTTATGCTTACTGTCCTGCAAGAGGATATCGGACGTGCGAGCCTTGGACTGGGACGCATTGTCATTCACCCCAGAGGGCGTATCATTCTCCATATCGAGACTAACTAAAGGCAATACAAAATCTATCTCTTACCAGAGATACCTAGGACATCCTTCACTATGCCCGGTCAGATGCCTTCGGTCCTACCTGGATCGTACTCAGAGGTTACGCTCACCTGAATCAAATCAATTATTTATATCCTTTCGAACCCCTTTTCTACCAGTGTCCACGCCCACGTTAGCTCGTTGGGTCAAGAACCTGTTAGCATTAACAGGAATTGACACTTCGAAATTCTCTGCACACTCGGTGAGAGGCGCGATGGCATCCAAGGCATCAACGATTGGTTGTCGCCTCGAGGACATATTAAAGGCGGCTGATTGGTCGCAAGTATCGACGTTCAGAGAATTCTATTTTCGGCCAATTGAATATATCTCTCTTCAGGTAGTGGCCAAGCTTTGAACTAGCATAATATGAGCCTCCGTGTCATTAATAAAATTCCAAGATTTTACTAGTAACATGACGTAAAGTCATGATTGTATTAATGACACGGAGGCAAGTATTATCCCCACCCACCAACCCACCCGGTGGGCGTGATACAGTCTATAAGGAGAGTCTTAAGACTCTTGCAAAGGTAAGTAACAAGGAATTTCAAGAGCATGTACACCATCCTTTTTATGTACACACTTAACTTGTTTTACCAGTTTGTTATATCAAGTGTAAGGAACATAAGGATAACATACAGTTCCAAAGTTTGGATCTTACCGTACATTCTCTTTGTTTCCACAGCGTAACGTACTGGACACTGACTGGGTAGAACACCGGAAGTTATGGGAGGTTACGGGACTTATTCCGTTCAAGTTACGACGGCTCTTCGTCGAGACAGACAAGAAAGAGGAAGTTAGAAGACTGTTCAAGACACTTAATGTTGATAAATGTATATGATTGGCTGCCCTGTTACTAGGCAGATTACTTATGTTATTTAGTTTTTTATTCTCTTTCAAGTTAAATTCTTGCTGCTGAGGAGAATAATAAAAGAAAGAGAAAGCATAATACTCGCCTCCGTGTCATTAATAAAATCATGACTTTACGTCATGTTACTAGTAAAATCTTGGAATTGTCATTCACTCTCCTAGCTGTATTTTCCTCCCTCACTCACTCTGCAGCAGGCTGCCCTCTTCTTTTAAAGGCCTGTCTACTAATTGACCAGCTACAGGTGAGTGCCAATTAGTTAACTCTTAAGTCAGATCTAAATTGTGGTCTGTTACACAGCAACTAGTGCTGTTGGAGCATTGGCCCACCCTGCTCTCCAAATACTCCGCCCCAGGGACCCATACCATGTTTTGCAGAAACTCAGCAATGTAGATTGCAAACTCTAACATCTCTCCCTGTGGCATTTAACTGAAAATTCTCAGGTTGCTGTTTAACAAATCAGGCCTGATGTATCTTCCATCAATCACAATTCCACTTTTACGCTCACAAAATATATATATATATATATATATATATATATATATATATATATATAATTTTATTCAGGGGAGACAGGGCTTTCATTTAACATCAAATATTTAGGTATAAAACATTAATTTAATATGAATAAAATATTTTTAAAAAGGGAGAAAATAATGAATTTTAAAAAAAATTTTTAGTTCTACATTTTTTTAGTTCTACATTCCTGTGAATGTCCTAATACTGTTGGCTTTTACTGCAATAAAATACACATTTGTATTCAGTGATGTCTCACATGTAAAACAGTACCCCCTATGTACAGGTTTTATGGTGTTTTGGGAAGTTACAGGGTCAAATATAGCATGTTACATTTTTCAGTTTTCTCACGTTGAAATTCGCCAGATTGGTTACATTGCCTTTGAGACCGTGTGGTAGCCCAGGAATGAAAATTACCCCCATGATTTCATACCATTTGCAAAAGTAGACAACCCAAGGTATTGCAAATGGGGTATGCAGTTGAAAATCACAGTGAGAGCACGCAAGCGTCCATAGGAAAGCATTATGAATGCTTTCCTATGCGACTGGCTGAATGTGTGCGTGCGCGCACGCATTCAGCCGACGGGGCGGATCGGAGGAGGAGAGGAGGCAGAGAGCTCCCCGCCCAGCGCTGAAAAAAGGTAAGTTTTTACCCCTTTCCCCCTTCCAGAGCCGGGCGGGAGTTGGACCCTGAGGGTGGGGGCACCCTCAAGGCACTATAGTGCCAGGAAAACGAGTGTTTTCCTGGCACTATAGTGGTCTTTTAAGGACGGCATAGCACGCCCGCCGTCCTTAAGGGGTTAACACATGAACCAAATGTTTAATAATAAATATTAAACATAGCGTGCGTGTGGGCAAGAGTTGAGAAGGGGAAAAAAAAAAAAACAGGAGTATGTGTGCTCAAGGTGTCAGTCACATCTAGGCTAGAAGCAGGGATGAGTGTACAATCTGGGTATAGAAGATACCAAAATGATACCACTATTAATTTTAAAGCAAAATAGAAAAACGGTAGTTTATTGACACAATATAGATGTATTGGTAAGAGGGCTAATCTCTCCTATATAAAAGTAAATACGTCTCAATTCACGTAACTAGTCCGCCATATATAAAGTGCAAAACATTACTTAAAGTGCTTAGTGCCAAATCACCATAAATATATAACTCAATACACTAAAGTACAAACAAATATATATATATATATATATATATATATATATATATACACAATACTGCCTGCAATTCCTATGCACAAAGCAAATAACTTAAAAAAATGGAGGGCACACAGATGTCAGTAATCTGTGCAGCAGAGTTCCTAAAGTATACTCTAAGTGTCAATGATCTGTCCCAATCCTGAATGTATGGATCCAATACAGTATGGACTAAAAAATGATGAAAAATCAAAAATACATTCTGTAATAAAGTCTAGGTTAGATCTCACCCAAAAGTATATAAGGCCGCCTCCTGGTGGACAGTCATACTGTATTGATTCTCTTGAGGGTAGAAAAAACGATGGATCTCCTTCACTTTGCATGTAGGGATTCTCATGTAGCAGCAGGATGGGGCAGCATCTTTTTCACTCTGTACGCAGGGATTCCCATGTAGCAGCAGGATTGAGCAACATCCCCTTCACTCTGTATGCAGGGATTCCCATGTAGCAGCAGGATTGAGCAGCATCCCCTTCTCTCTGTACGCAGGGATTCCCATGTAGCAGCAGGATTGAGCAGCATCCCCTTCACTCTGTACGCAGGGATTCCCATGTAGCAGCAGGATTGAGCAGCATCCCCTTCACTCTGTATGCAGGGATTCCCATGTAGCAGCAGGATTGAGCAGCATCCCCTTCACTCTGTACGCAGGGATTCCCATGTAGCAGCAGGATTGAGCAGCATCCCCTTCACTCTGTACGCAGGGATTCCCATGTAGCAGCAGGATGGAGCAGCATCCCCTTCACTCTGTACGCAGGGATTCCCATGGAGCATCCCCTTCACTCTGTATGCAGGGATTCCCATGGAGCATCCCCTTCACTCTGTATGCAGGGATTCCCATGTAGGAGCAGGATGGAGCAGCATCACCTTCACTCTGTATGCAGGGATTCCCATGTAACAGCAGGATGAGGGTAGGCAGATCGGGGGCTGCGTGCTCAGGACGTTGTGTCCTTTCAAATGGCTCTTTAGGCTCACTCCATGACACTGACCACCTTGACAAAACGGAGCCTTATCTCCCCGAGTTTCCAGCACTTGGGATCTGCTGCGCCTCGTTTAAACTAACAGGAAAGTGGTTCTCTTTTGGAGGCAGACAGCCAGCTAGCTACTGACTTACAGATAGGTGCCCTCGAAGGCACAGTCAGCCTGAATACGCTCACCTGATATTACAGGAGTTTCAGACCAATGCAGTTAGCTTGCTAGATTTTCTCACACTAGGCAGTTGCCCTCGAAGGCACCGCTAGATTTTCTCCTCAAAACCTATTTACTACTGATAGATTGTATCACCAGGCAGTTTATCAGTTTTGCAGTCTGCTCTAACATCTCCCCCTCCATCCCGGAAAGAAAACCTACAGGACAAATATATATATATATATATATATATATATATATATATATATATATATATATATATAATTTTATTTGGGGGTTTAGTCTACTAAATTGAAGAGGGAAAAAAGGTAACATGCCCCTTTTACTGGAGGGATAATTTTAACTACTTTTAAGAATCTTTTAGACTGAGTAAGTTTCATGGGGAATGTAATTCATACAAGTGCAGTGCTTCCCAGTTTAGTAGGGATCGCACCAGCTGCCATGGTAAGCAATACTGTGCTGGTTGGCGGTCACAGCTGGACTGAATGATTTAATACATCATGTATCTCTACTATATATGATATATTCAATGTATTGGGGATAATTAAGGCAAATTTTATATTTACAGTACAGGTGTCATGTCCTCCCTCTTTTCAATCTTTGTTTTTATTGTGGAATAAGAAGATCACAAAAAAGAAATTATCAGACCACATGTTACTTATAATAATAAATAAAATAATAAATCAAACATCAGGGGAAAAACAATTGTCACGTCTGACATTAGAAACTTCATTTGCATTTCATCACGTGCTGCTTGCAGCCACCAGGGCCGGATTAAAAGCCAATTGGGCCTGGTGCTGACAATTATGATGGGCCTAATTACAGAACCTTGTCGACAGAAAACATTAAGAGAGTTATACCTTCCAAGCATCTTGTACCTGGTGGAGTTGATGCTCGAGGGAAATAATAACAGGATATAGTTTTCAGAACACTTACACCCTATGCTAAGCTTTTGCTTTCATTGTTCAAGTAAATCCATACCCCCTAACAGCAGTGTCCGGTGAAGCAGGATTTCGGTGGGATGGGTAAAAGTGTGGGTCACTGATGTGAATCACGCAACCAGAACAGCCCAAAGGGACAAACGTGCCCAAAAAGGGGGTGTCTGCAAGTAGAATGAGCTGGTCAACCTGGCGTGAATGCATGTGAAACCTGGTTATTACTGATGAGCTCATCCAATATTTCGCTACAGGGGCATGCGTGGAAATTGCTGTGCTGAGCCAATCAGTTTCTCATCATTAAGATACATTATACCAATGCATCTTCATGGCAAATGTTCAACGTCTTGATTCTGGCCGTGAAGGCATCAAACATCAGCACCACAAGGATTATAGGGCTGTAATAGCAAGCACCTCTAGTGGCTGTCTGACTAAAACCATGGTTTACAAAGAAGTGAGGGCAGGATTGATTAAATTTAAGGATTCATTAAAATGTAGTGGCCCTGATGCTTCGTTTGTCTTTTTAAGTAGGATGCTATTGCAAAGTAGATTCCTGATTTAAAGACTAATCTTTCTCAGTTTTAAAATAAGACGCACAATCTTGTAGGCTATTAGAAATATTAACTAAGTTAATTATGACTGGATCTTGCAGGAACAAATACATGGGAAAGTAATGAAAGCATGTCTCTAAGAAAACATTTTTTTTAAAATTGAAGTAAAAAGAAATGTGGAACAGTAAATAACTAGGCTAGCAAAGAGCAATAAACCAGTTAAGCCCGGTCATAGAGTTTTGAAAACAATACAAAGGTCTATGACGCAGCTGCATATAAAATCTCTTAGCCGATTCCTTGTCGAAATAATGACATTTGCTTTTGTAATGGAATATTGTGGAGAACCTATTGCCCTGAAGCCATAGAGTATATGACTGTAGAGAACAAGGAGAAACTACTTCCAACCTCTGGTCTTAAGGGAAGAGTAACTGGGTCGTTTTTAAAATATGGTAGTTGTCCTCCTACCCAAGTAGGCTAGTAGAGCTCAGAAGCGTGGATCAGGTGTAGCACCCAGCAGTTTTTCAGAATCTTAATGGTAAGTATAGCTACTGCAAGTAACTTTAAATGGATACTATAGATCTTAAGACACCATTAGCTTAATGAAGCAGTTTTAGTGTATAGAATTGAACAGTCTCGCTGCTCAATTTTGATCTGTACATCCTAATGCTTTAAAATGTTATAATTTCAAACCAACCTGCTGTACCTAATGCAGTGTCGGTGAAAAGTTCTTAAATTGGGTTATTATAGTCACCAGAACAACTACAGCTTAATGTAGTTGTTCTGATGTCTATAGCCTGTCCATGCAGGCATTGTCATGTAAACACTGCATTTTCAGTGAAAATGCAGTGTTTACATTACTTTCTAGGGACACCTCCAGTGGCAGTCATTCACATGGCCACTAGAGGTGCTTCCTGCGTCAGTGCTGAGCAATGTGCAGCACTGGCGTTTTAGGGTCTCCACTATCTGCATGTAGTCGCTGAGCTTCCCGTTAGATATATACTGACTCAAGGCTATGAGGAAATGCTGATTGACCAGTGCTGCATTGGATTGGCTGAGATTGTCACTTCTAATGCTCTCCGTCAAGGAGGCGGGACGGGGCCAGCATTCACTCTTTCCTAAGTGATAGATTTCTTCTTGTGATGTATATAGTTTATGTACTGGATTTGAAGCTATAGAGAATGGGCAAAAAATAGTGTGTTGTCATAGTTTATTTTTATTTATTTTTTACAATATTTTTAGCAATAAGATTTTTGTAACATACAAAAGTAAGATGGGGAAAAAACAAAGAAAGGAAATTAAATTGATAACATATGAGGACAGTGAGTCCATTGACATTGGACATGGGAGCAACAAGGTTTAAATATGGTTGTTTTAAGTAACAAAATATCCCATATCAACATATCTCATGTTATCTCAAGAAATTCGTATATAGAACAGAACCTGCATTTGCGTTCAAGATCAAAACCTTAAGTTTTGAGATCCAATGGCAGGCATTAGTTGTTTTTGAAAGAAAACAAAAAGGTGGGGTAGTAGGGCAAGGCAAGGGGTAAAGAAGAGGCAGGGCCATAGGTGCTCTTTCTGGGGATCACTCACCTAAGTCAGATTTTTAGACATGTACACTAGCCGGGACGTCCACATAAGGGCGCACTTTTCAGACCTACCCTGAAGTCCATTTTGTCATAGTTTATGATTGGGACATGTGACAGATTCCCTATGCCTGAATGACAGGCTGTGAATTTTGTTGCTTATTTGGTATACGAACATCTGAGACCTGTCTATTTTGTATACCGAACAAACTACCGGACGGCCTGACCACCCAGGGCAGGCGTGTGCTGCCCATTAACCTCTTTCACTTCTGTTCCGTAAGCGCAATTATAACAACATTCTGAGCGGTCGGCTGGGTGGCCGCCGTTCGTATGGCCGAACATGGTGGCGGCCATCTTTAGCCGCCAACATGTACAGCGGTGTTTGGTCTTTGAGTGCATGGAACTAAAATCGGGCACTCAACGGCGCGAACACCGCTAGAACTTTCACAGAAGTTTGGCAAAATACATGAGAACTGAATGGCGTTCGGTGGGAGCAAGATCCCAAAAAAGAACTAAAGACTGACTGTA